CTTTGCACAAACTGTGTCCTCTTGTAGAACTTTTCTTTCCCGTATTCTCTAACTGGCCTTTTTCTGTCATTCAAAAAAATCTTAATCTGGGTGCTCAATCCAGAATCAGCTAAAAATCTTCACTTGTTTGGCTCCCTCATATTATTCAGACCTCAGTTTTAGTATCTCTTGAGGGACCAGTATTGCAGCAGTGGGTAAAGCCCCAACCTAGGATGCTCGCATTCTATATGGGAGTGTCAGTTCAAGTCCCAGCTACTCTGTATCTGATCCAGTTCCCTGCCAATGAACTTGGAAATCAGTGGATGAAGACTCAAGAAGTTGAGTTCCTGCCAGCCACATTGGCAATCTAGATGGAATTCCCTGCTCCTGGCTTCAGCCTAATGCCATCTGGTGTGGCCATTTGAGGGAGTGAACCAGAAGATGGAAAATCTCTTTCTATATCTTTCTCTGTCACTCCACATGTCAAATAAATAAATTTTAAAAAATTTAAAAAACCTCCATAGAAGCCTATACTAAGTACATAAAGTAGTAAAACCTTTCCATTATTGTCACATACTAATTCTTAGCACTTAAAAATATATTTTAAAAAGCAAAGATACAAGAGAGAGAGAGAGAGAAAGAGAAATCTCTCATCTGCTGGTTCACACAACACTGGGCTGAGGCTGGCACAGGCAGAAGCCAAGCGTTGATAATTCAATCCAGGTCTCCCCAGTGAGCAATAAGACTCAACAGCTTGAGACGTCACCTGCTGGAATTGGAAGTAGAACCAGGACTGGAACCCAGGCATTCTGTTATGAGATAAGGGAATCCCAAAATGGCATTTTTAAAAAAGGTTTATTTATTTGAGAGGCAGAGTTACAATGGAGAGAGTGAGGTCTTCCATCTGCTGATTCACTCCCCACATGGCTGCAATGGCAGCAGTTGGGCCAATCCAAAGCCAGGAGCCAGGGTTTTATCTGGGTCTCCCATGTGGGTGCAGGGGCCCATGCACCTGGGCCACCTTCTGCTGCTTTCCCAGGTCATTAGTAAGAAGCTATATCAGAAATGGAGCAGCTGGGACATGAGCTGGCACTCATATGGGTTGTTGTCCCTGCAGGCAGAGGCTTAACCTACTGTGCTACAGCACTAGCCCCCCAGAATGGCATCTTAATTAATGTGCCAATACCCAGCGCCAGCCTAGCACTTCTTACCTCACATCCTCTTGCTTATATACTTGGTTATTGCTTTATGGTCTATCACCTTTCTGTAGAGTGCAAACTCTGAAAGCAATGATCTCATCTCACCTGCTTAATGTAATATCCCAGAATGTGGAATAGGGCTTGGCATATAATAGGTACTCAACAAAAGTTTATTTATTGATTGAATGCAAATATTAATTTGCAGATCAGTCTTCTCAGAATACACCTGGAAAATAAAGGCACATCATTATAATTTCAGCCACATCCAGTAAAATATTATATGATAACAGATGAGATTGATATGAATAAGGTTTTCATTTTGAAAATATTCTAGAGGATTTATCCTTAATGAGTAGTCTTATTGATTCTCTATCTCTTATAATAATACTAACTCTAACTTTCAACCTTCAGATATATAGTACCTAATAGCAAGAAGAGGTTATCCACAATTACCTAGCTATTAGAAAGTGGCCAGTTCAATATCAAAATTTTGTATGTAAAATTATATATAAAATATATGAATAAAATTAGAAGTGCATTTATATTCAGCAAACATTTATTAAGCCATGCACTATCTTAGGTGCACAGGATTTTAAAAAAATGAATGAAATACAATAGGCAATGTCTGGTAACCCAAAGATGAGTGAGTTAATAAAGATTTTTTAAAAATTAACAATATTGTACATTAAAAAGGCACAACAGGACATGGGCATTTGGCATAGCAGCTATCAATACTGGAATACTCATATCGCATATTGGAATGCCTGGATTTGAATCCCAATTGTGCTTCTGCTTCCAAAGTCCTGCTAATGTATATCTCTGGAGTTGGCAAGTGACGATTCAAAGCACTTGGGGCCCTGCCAACCATGTATGAAACCAGGATTGAGTTCTTGGTCTCTTGACTTTGGCCTGGCCCATCTTCGGCTGTCATAAACATTTGTGGAGTGAATTAACAGATGGAAGATCTCTCTATATCTGTCTCTGTCTCTGCCTTTCTTTCTCTTTTTCTTTGCCTTTTAATAAATAAACAAAAAGAATATGAGAGAGTTGTGGACTAACGGTTAAGACACCAAAATCCTAAATTGAAGTGTCTGGTTTCAATTCCTGAGTCCAGACCCGGACTCCAGTTTCCTGCTAATGTTATGGAGATGGCTGGAGAGATTAGGTTCCTGCCATCCATGTAGAGAATAAGACTGAATTTCTGGCTCCCTGCTTTGGCCTATCCTGATTGCAATCATTGTGGACATTTGGGGAATAAACCAGCAGGTGGAAACTCTATCTGCCTTTCAAAAAAGGTACAATAGAGTATAAGCAAAGTAATGTAGGGTCAGTTTTGTTTTAAATGCTCTGGACGATGATATTTCACTAATATGACTTCAGACTCCTTCCAAATGTCCCTGTTTTTCCTAGAGATAAATCATTAATGAAGTTCCGTTTCTTTGGTATATAACACCCTTATTCAAATCAAGTGGAAGTCTTTTTCTTGAAGAAAGGAGAGAGAACAGGCTATTTTTCTATGCCAGTATTTCAATAGAGCAATTAGGCGTTGGCTCTACCAGGAGGTTGCTGTGAGGCAAGAGACACAGCAGAGGACAAATGGTTGTGCAATGTCAGCTTATTATTTCTCCAAGGGGCTAAGGATTAGAAAATAGCTCTTTGTGATTTCTAAGGGGTCTGTAAAACCGAGTAACAGGAAGCATCAAAAAGCAATGCTGCGAAAATAATTAAAAAGATAAATGGCAACAGAAATTGGTTGACTTTTGGAAAGAGAGGGAAGATTTTTTGCATCTCTGACACTGTCTCATCACAGTTTCCGTGAAAGATTAAAATGATTTCAACATTTTCTCTTTTATTTATTGCAAACGAATATGGCTTACTCTGACAAAATGTCACGTTTCCTACTTAGGTGCTATTATGCAGAGCCAGAACAACGAGTTTATATTGGTTGCTCAAGTCACTCTTAAGGAACAGAAATAAAAGCTGAATGTTAAAGATTGGAAATGTTTGCACACCAGAGGTCCTTTACTTCCAAACATTTTTTAGGCTGATAATTTCTCTCAAAGCCCTGGGAAGCACTATTAGAACTATGTCTCTTTCAGACATTAATGAGGAGGCAAATAGGTGGCTTTCTGAAAATTCCAGTTTCTGCTTGGATATCACTTATTGGCTGTTGAATGGAAAGAAAGTGACAAAAGCAGGGAAAGAAATACTTCTGAGTCCAGGCTATTTGAGTGAAAATGAAATGGTCCTCTATATATTACTTCACATCTGGTTAAGGCAAAAGAATGCAACTAGTTTACCAATTCATACAAAACTAGGCACACAAAGTATAAAGTTTTAAAATCTTCTGAAGTTTGTCAAATATGATATATGCCAAAAATGATAAATAAAAGCAGTGTAAATACAAATTCGTCAATGCTAAACTAGTGTAATATATATATATATATATATATAAGATTTATTTATTTACTTGAAAGTCAGAGTTATACAGAGAGAGGAGAGGCAGAGAGAGAAAGAGGTCTTCCATCCGCTGGTTCACTTCCCAGGTTGCTGCAATGGCTGGAGCTGCACCAATCAGAAGGCAGGAGCCAGGAGCTTCCTCCGAGTCTCCAACATGGGTGCAGGGACCCAAGGACTTGGGCCATCTTCTACTGCTTTCCTAGGCCATAGCAGAGAGCTGGATCAGAAGTGCAGCAGCCAGGAGTTGAACTGGCACCCATATGGGATACTGGCACCGCAGGTGGCAGCTTTACTTGCTATATCACAGTGCCAGCCCCAATATTTTTATATTTTTAAAGAAACCTTAAGAGGCATCAGTTAACCGTGAGATCTCTGTTTACCTCTATTTTGCTATGGTACACAGTGACAATGGTGTACTAAAACATCACGCAGTATGCTGTGGCTGTATTTTGTTTCACTCATTTAGAAAGGAAGAGGCTGCCTAATAAAGGTATATGAATATTATTGAAAAACTTTCACACTTGAAACAAAAATGCTATTTTTCCCAGAACTTTTAAAGGAAGAAGATTTAAATTCTGTGTTTTCTGCTATTGGCTTTTCCCATTAATCCTCACAAGTGTTGACTTTACATTCTTGTTCCATCTACATTACGCGGCAAAGCTCCCGCTCCTTTCCATGATTGCACGCTGGGCAGAGGTCGGTAATTTCGAGATGGCTCTGATTTTGAAGCATTTTGCTGCAGCTGGAAGGGAATAGGACAAACATGGTACATAACCACCCTGCTTTGGGGTGTGACTGGCCAGCTGTAACAAGTTTTGCATTTCGAACCCCCACCCCCCCAAATGTGTTGTGCCTTCAAATTATTGCTTACATTCGGGTTTTAAGGTCCCAAGATGAATTTTCTCACATTTGTGATCTTGACGGATTTTGTATCTAATGTTTTGTGAAGAATAATTTGTGTTTACCTTGAGCGATGTTTGTGCTAGATGATAAAATCAGATGGTGACCTCGTGGAATCAATGGGAACATTAAAGCGACTACAGAAACTGGTTTGGACCAAGAAATCCAGGGAACAGAATTCGGATGAAGTGAAACCGACACTAATAAGTCTCCGTAAGTAAGAGTTCCATTCGCAACTAAAATTTCTTTGAGGGAAAACTGGGGAAGCATAAATTAACAAAGTCCATCTTGATAATATTTTAAAATACTCATTAAATGCTAAGTTTTTTTTAATTGCCAAGTTATTTTGAAACAGATACCCTTTTCTTATTCCCGAATTTGCATTTCGTCCTGTTCCTGTGCCTAGCCCCATTTCTCTTTCCCTTCAGGGCCAGGACTGAGTCTGATAGAGTGGGAGAGAGAGTGAAAGATGAGGTTGTGTCAGAAAATAAGGATCAGAAATGCCCTCTGTTTCCATTGCTTGGGCATAGAAAATGATATTTTTAATCTTGATGTGAGTGCAGCAAATTGATATACCTATGACTTGCAGTTTAATTTGTTAGTAATTTACAATAATGTCCTATTAATCATATCTTTTGTTTATATCAGTTAAACATTTGAGTGTAAAGAAATCCAATAATATAGAGCAGTTTACCATTGGCGATATATATTTGTGTTTTCAGTAGCTGTTTTATAAAGTGCTATGCCTGAAATTTGATTAGACCCTTCACCACGTTGGGTAAATATAGATCTCACTAGTCCACTTTATGGTATTAAAGATATGCTTTTTAATTTATCTTTCTCAGTCTATTCTTGCTTTTCCAAAATACTTCACAATGAGATACACTGCATGTATAAATCCATTTGCAGATTGATATGAAAATAGAAAATTATAAAATGTCGGTAGGATTGTAGTCCATCTCCAGTGAGATTTCACTCTTTTGAGGAGGGCAGACTTTCATGTGCTTCTTTAGGATGCTCCCTAAAATACATGGCCTCAAAAAAATTAAAAATATTTAAGAATAAAAGTACATAATATTATGATTATAAGATATGAGATTTTTTTTAAGTTGTAATTTTTTGAGTGTCTTTTAGGATGCTTATTTGCATGTGACTTCCATTCTACTCTAGCCAATAACATGGTTTCAAAAAGTTGAAACAAATATGAGTTTTTCAAAACAAAAAATTTCTTGTAACAAAATCATTTACTCTTTAATTAATGCTATTAAAATTATTTTGTAAAATTGAATGACCTATGGTTTATCCTGCTATTCTTTCACCTTTAGTATATAAAAATATAGTGTTCAGAATTCCCACATGCAAAGAATTATTAGGCAGTCTTAACATTTAATTTATTTTTCTTTGTTATATAGAAGATGAAGATGACACATTGATCTCTTGTGTGAGATTAACAAAACCCCAAGAAAAGAAAGTGAGTAATGTTAGTACAAAGGGGAAGAAAGAATTAATGATTAGACAGGATTCTTTTTCTGCATCACTGAAAAGATCCAGCACTACACATGGACACCTCTTGGAAGATATGTTATCTCACTATGAAAGTGACATCCAGATGTGGAACAGCTGGAAGCCTTTGCCAGAAAACCCACTCTGGACTTGCGTTGATTTCCAACTGGCCCAAGTTGGAACCTGGGGTGATTGCTCATTGTGTACTCACCACTCACATCTCAAGTCTTCTTTCACGGATGTGGATCTTCTCCATTCATGGGTAAGTTTGGAAACTACAGAAATGTATCATCATATCTTGTACTGGCAGGAAAGAAACAGATAACAAATGGCGGGAATCAGTCAAGTATATCAGTTTCAGGAAAATTACCAGCTAGAATTCTTGCCAAAAACCAGAGTAGCACCAGTGACTTTTACCTAGATTATACTGGATGTATTCCTTGGTATACGAATAAACTACTGCATGATATTCTACAGATTTTTTTTTTAATTGAAGGAAGGCTTTGAATGTTGGTTCAGGTCAAGAAAATGAGTGCTGAATTGTCTAAATTATTCCTATTGTAATGAAGTGTAATTGACAGTTAAAAACTAATTTTAACGAGCCTTTTCTTTGGGCTTGCCACTCTCCTAAGAACGTTACAATAATTATTGTTAATTAAATCTCACAGCAACCCTAAAAGTAAAGGTTTTGATAATCTAGTATGATTTCCCATCTGTTTTACATTTCAAGAAACTGAGGCAGAGCAAATGTTAGTGACAGATAGGAAGCAGATTGCTAACAAGAGCTGGAGCCAAGATCCAGAACTTACAAATTATCACACTGGATGTCTTGCTTTTTTACCCAATGCTCATGTCTTATAGAGTTTTCTATGTACTAAGCTAAATTCTAAACTAAATGGTGCAAGAGAAAGAATGGACCACGAACTCATACAAATTTGAATTTGGATCATTTGTTCTGCTACTTTTTTGCTATGGAAAATTTTTTTACACTGTTTAATCCTCATTTTCTGTACTGTAAAATAGAAAGGGTACCATGAACCTTGTGAGATATTTGAGATGTTTCAATTGAGCATAATAACTCCTTCAAGACCTTGAAATGTCTAACTTCATTTCAACTTTAGTAGAGTCCTTTAAGTTGCAGCTTGTTTTATAATTTCTCTATAGCACATGGCCATTTGTGTATACAGTGAATGAATGGAACAACTGTATGTCCAGGAAGCCTGCTCTTTGCTATTTTGCTCTAAAAATAATCTCCCATTAGACAGGGGCTATATTTTAGCATGCATTAGAGGCCTCTGAAGATTTTCATTCTCTCTTGGAGTACTTTTCATCTTTTAAAATTAATGTATTGAGTCTTTGATAACAAAAGCTAAAGAGTAGCATGTTAAATATTACAGTATCTGTGAACAGACTTGGAGCTAGTGAAACTGCCCTCCATTAATATCTTGGAGAATGTTTCTCCTGCTTGCCAGCCCTCTTCTCTCTGGGGAACCTGGACCTTGCAGGCTTCCTCTTGGAGCATCTTCTTAGAGAGTAGCTGGCAATGTAATTAGGACCCACTTCTGACAACTTGGACAGATTCAGAAGTAAGGGAAAGGAAGTTGACTACTTGACAAGCAAGAAAGCTAGTGAATATAATTCTAATCTGATATATTCAGTGCTTCCTTCCAGAATAAAATTTGGCCTCCTTCGTTTGGCATTCCTGGATTTCAGCAGTCCGGCCTCAATCTAATCTTTTCAACCTTTTCTACTCACTGCTTTTTCTTTATGTGTTTCCTATACTGGACTGCCACCCTGAAGGATTTTCTCCTAACAGCTGCCCTGCTCTTCTCTGCCTGCATCTTTGTGTGGCACAATGGCTTCTGCAACCCAGAGCCCTAGCTTCAAAGCCTTGTTGAATCACATACAATAGAAGCAATATCTACTCCCTTTGAGCTTCTAGATGATTGAAGGCATTATTTTTCATTATGTACTCCTTAAATGCATATTTGCATCTGATACATATATTCGCAATATTATATATAGTCAAAATATTATATATAGTTACATTATTGTATATAGAGTCACAATATTATATATATTGATATATATACCGTCACAGTATTAGGCAGTGGGAATACAGAGCTAAGCAATATATTCACTTCCCTGTCTTCATGGAGCTTACCAAACTATATTGTGTGCTGTAATTAGTGATGCATTTGCTTAATTCCTCTAAGTAACTTATCTTTGTGTTCTCCATAGTCCCTAGAATGCAAAGGACATTCATTCAATATTTCAGAAGCATTATTGTCTAAATGCATGGGTTTCAAATACCAGTGGAATTTGTTCCATATTTCTAGATAACATATAATCTAATTTTTCTGATTGTTCTGATCACCAAACCTTTTCTCAGTCTAATTAATCCAGTTGTACATAAAATCAGTTACTGTGTGCATGTGATGGCTTGTGAATGTGTGTGCAAATTTAGGGAAATACACAATAGTCATGTGTTTCTTTTTCTTTAGTTAGGTAGCTTTGTCTATTTTAGTATATAACTGATTAAATGAGTTTTATCAGTGGAAGGTCAAACACCTGTAGCCTACTCAGAATTTCAGATGATAATGTTCAGCGTTTGTGACAGGAAAGCCTCAGCGGGTTTGGAGAGAAGGTTCGAGAGCGTGTTAGAGTTAAATTGGTTTGGTAAACTTAATGAGAGCACTTATACTCTGGGATTTGAGTCACTAGAAGGAAAGAAGCTGGATGAGTGCAAATTATTATTTTATATTCTACAAATATATTTTACAATAATAAGTGAAAAATATCATTTGATTTTAGCATAGGCAGTATTTTTTCCTTCAGTAATTTCGAAGGTTTTCTTTTGGGGAGGGGTGTTATTTGACTTCCATTCTATAGACATTGCAGAGGAAGGCACATAGGGTTAAGGGAAAAGATGTTCTTCTGAAATGAGCGTTACTATTAATGACAGGTGCTCAGAGGTGACATTTTTTCCAATTTTAAAGGGTAAAGTGTGACCATATTTTTAAAAAAAAACTGTATCATATATGCAGATATGATGGAGCTCGTCATTTCACAAGAAATGAATCTAATCCACAAGGACGGTCGATTCTCCTTGACTTGAGAAATTTCGGACAAAGTAGATTCCAGTGTGTCTGGTCCTAAATCAGATCAGAGTTCTGAGATGAACGACATTGACTAGCCATGCAGGAAGTCCTGATTCACCGAGGCATGGTGCTGTGCTCAGCCCATAGCAGACTTGCACTCTCAGAGTTAGTACCAATGAGTTAAACCCCCTGCAGTATGACCAGCGGAGTGTGCAGGAGTGAACTCTTCACTTTTTTTACCTTCTTTCTCCCATTAATTCTGATTCTGTACGTTGGTTTTAGTCCTTACTCCTTTGCTTCCCTTCCCTGAGAGTGACTCTTTGCATACCCCCAAATATCCAGTTGTAAAGCAATCTTATCATTATCTGCCAGTCTGGGATATTAAGAAGATTAAATGAAGTGGTACCATGATTTGGTCTTAATAGGTAACATTTATACCCAAATCAAAGAAGCCAGAGTGGAAAGCAGCACTTTATTGAGTTGAGATACCATAAGCCAACTGAATCAGACAGGGAAATGTGTTCTTTGTGAAGGGTCCTTCCCAGAAGTCAACAGCAGAATAAGACATAGAGATTTAATGTGCAGTTGAGTTGTTTGTTAGGTCTGGGGGACTTGGGGAATAGGGAAAGATGTATGATTATGGAATTGACATAAATTGAGAGAGGTGGAAGATCAGATTTATAAAAGTGTTTACTCTACCAGAGAAACGTAAAGGGAGAAATTAAGAATGTGGATATTTAATAATATCTGAGCTAAGTGCTTTGAGAGGAGATTTTAGATTCATCTTGAGAAAGGTAACAATGGAGGTGGCCAAAAATAATTTTGAAGCTAAGTGTTTAGAATCAGTTTACAAAAAGAGTGACTGAAGGGTACTCGCGATGCCCTGCATGCTAAGAGCTTGAAACTTCTTAACAAAAAGAGGGAAAAGAATGAATGTGAGCTACAAGCTTGGCAGAGCATCAAGGTAAGAAAAAAGCATATGTTGCAAAGGAATTGAAACTATCTCTTAATGTAATATTGTGATGATAAGCAACGTATTTTCAGATTTGTAGGAAGTATACACATATTATAATATTAATGAGTGAAAATCCAAACAGGAAAAAGGGAGCAAAAATTATCTTCTCCCCTAAGATGTCTAAATTATTTTGAGATATTTTATAAAATTGAGTGATATGTTCAAAAAGTAACAGTAACAAAATCTTTGAAGAAGAAGCAAAATCAACAGCCTGAAAGGACAAAAGGGAGACCTACATTGAGAATAATCAAAGGTAGGATAGATAGAAAAATGTTAATAGTAAGTGACAGACTCACATAACACAAATCAAAGACAAATGAGTGTTTACATACAACATCCCAAGATGAGAAAATCATCAAGGCCCCACTTAACAGCATCTAAGAAAAAAAGATAAAAAAGTCTTGCTGCAATATGACACCAACTCATCAAAATGGTGCCAAAAGGAAAGTGTGGATAATGGAAAAATTCTTTGTGCAACTGTTTCAGTGGGAGGAACAGGATGTGTGCTAATGCTAACCAAGAAGCAAAGGAGCAAAAGATTTAACAATCTTTCAGTGCAGATGGGGAGCAGTGCATTGTAATTATCAACATGCCAAAGTTGGGGTATGCAGTCTGACTGCTAAGTAGTGTAAGAGTTTTAGCACTGCCCAGGAAAACTAGTGGTCAGTGGGATTGAGGTGACAGAGCCAGCACGAGCCCTTTGTGCTTTCTTTGTCTTTCTGTTATGCATGTTGGCACTCTCTTCCAGCACCTGTGAACTGTCTCTTTCCCTTCAGTTGACATAAGGTACTATTAACAAACTAACTTATTGACTAGTCTGACAAATCCTACCTGACTGATAATCCTGATTATCAAATCTAACAATGTACAGCTCCCTGGTGTTGAGAGAGAAAGAGAGAGAGAGAGAGAGAGAGAGAGAGAGAGAGAGAGGAGAGAGATGTGTTCCCATCTACTGGTTTACTCCCCCAAATTCTGAAACAGCTGGGACTGAAACTGGGAACCCAGTCTGGGTCTCCTGCATGATTGGCAAGGACCCAACCACTTGAGCCATCACCTACTGCCCCCCAGGATGTGCATTAATAGGAAGCAGACAGAACTCAAATGCAGGTACTCCCGTATGGAACACAGAAGGCCCAGCTGATGTTA